TTATCACAAGTTAGAAAAACCCTATATGAATTAACTTAATATTTTATATAAACAAATATTCAACAAATATTATGTTTGATCTATGTGAAAATATTCAACTAACACTATGTTTGGGAAGGAAAAAATTTTCTGTTGTCATTTATTTTGCTAATAAAATAATCAATCAAACTTTATACAAAAATCAAATTAATACAATTAAAACAAATTAGAGAAAATTGTACTTTATAAACACAAATTTAATTTAAGTATCACAAATTTAACGCCCCTTGTTTCCCAAAATTTGCCTGCCCTCATCCCGAATCCTAACTCAGCCACTGAAGGTGGGTTAATAAATTCTTAGTAACAAGTTTTTGAAACTTTATGGGAAATCCTTATTCCTCATATAGTGGTGATAAATTCTTAGTAACAAGTTCTTTTTTTAACAAATTTAGAAGAATTATTATTTTCTTTATAGTAGATAACACAACCAAACTCAGAATACTTACTGTACCAAGAAAAAAGTGGAAAAAAAGAATATCTTTCTTAAAGTACGTCTTTTACATATTTCCAATGATTTTAATTTTATAAGTGAGTTTTGACTTCTCAATTATGTTGACAATTATAAGGTTTCAATTTTAGCGTTTATGATTTGCTGTAAGTTGTCTTCTCAACCATGTTGCCAGCTAAGGGGTGAATTTCAACATTTTCATTTTTCCCTTTTCTTTTTGGATTGTTTGGTTGACAAGGTAAAAAAATAAAGCTCAAATTCAGGATCTTAAATTTTAGTCTCTATTTGGTTAAAGTGACCTTTCTATCCATTCAAAAAAAAAAAAAAAAATGAACGGCTTCTATAATCATTCAGTCTCTTTGCTTCAAAAGCCTTGGTACTTTGTTTGATTTTTCTGATCTAGGAAACATGCTCTAAACACTAATTTCCTCATTTTTATAATAAGAAACCATCAATTTTTAGACAAATGAGTTTGGGGATTCTATGTCCATGGATGCAAAAGATATGCGAGATTTAGTGCAATGCGAATTCAATGGAAGATTGGCTTAGAGGGCAGTATTATGTGTACAAAGGATATGGACTTTATCCCGGGAAAAGTACAGTGCAAGTGAATTGATTGTAAAATGGTTTCATCATATGAACCTTATTTTATTGGGGTCTAAACTCTTGGTCTACGCATTCTTGGATTTATGTGTTTGTGATTTAATTATTTTGCATGTTGAGAGAATTTTAAGTCATGTTAACAATAGAATCTAATACCCCCTTGTACCTTTATTTAATATATATTTTGTTTTGTTGGCTAATAAAAATATAATAATATATATACACTTTTTTTTATTATTATCCTAATGTATAATTGTTAATGTCAATTCCTTTCCAATTTGTTTTGCA